AAGTGTGAGTTCACCCCACCTGGGTGCAAGGTGCTCATGCTTGAAAGCAGTGTCTTCCTCTTGAACAGCATGTACAGAAAGCATGCACCTAAAGGAAGCTGTAACTTAGTTGATTTTATCATCCACTTTCCTTCTTTTGCTTTGGATCATATTAAATATTTTGTCTAGCTTTTTTCCGCCATAGTTTTACTAACTGGGTTAAAATGACTTGTTCTGCATCCCAATGTGTACTTAAAAAGGATAACCATGTGTATGTGTGAGGCAAAGTCATGAAATTTGCCCCTGGATTTCTGAGCACCAAGTACAGGTTTCTTCAAGGGTGCTCAGTTCAGAATGTTTTCCACTGCTGGTGTTGTCAGCCCATATAGGAAGTCCCCTGCAGTTTTGCACAGGATCTTTTGCAAACAAATGTCAGTATTAACTTGGTTACACAAAGCTGGGGGCTCACTCTGTGCTTGCTATGGTGTGACTGCCTCTGCCAGTAAGCCATGGTTAGGGTTATCTTTCTCTGTTCACTTAGTACTGTATGGGAGCAGAGCAAGGTCATTTTGTGATATGTGTGAAAAATGGACTTTGCCTGTCACTCACAGAGCATGAGCTGTCTCTTGTCATTGTGCCAAAAGGTTAAACTAAGTAGAGATTTGGGGATAGAGAGAAGCATCCTTTTCTTTCCATAGGTTTGCTTCTGTTTCACTCATTTCACCTCCTTTCAGGCAGTAACAGACCATGGAGTAGGATGAAGATTCCTCTGTAACGGTTCTTGCCTGTGGGGACAGTGTGGTGAGGGTACCACATGAATACTTTCTGTGTCTCCATTTTCAGTCATTGTGTTCTAAAAGCTGTGTCTTCCAGGAACTCATTTTAGCTTCATCAGGTACCTGATGTCAATAAGGATCACGTTACATGAATTTATCCATATAATTCTTGGAAGCAGTCTAAGAAGAATGATAGGACATGATCATTGCCATGGGCATTTCCTGCAGTTTCTAAAATAACTGTAAGATCTGTACCTCTGAAATGTTCTTGAAAATATTTGTTTCAGTGACCATAGAGTCTCTGGCACCAAAAGCCCATCTGAGAACTCCCAGTACAGTCAGAGATAAACATCCTGCTTTATGATGTCGCCAGTGGCTACAATCGTTTGTGCTATTTTGTGGTTGTACTGTTATGATCACGTGCTGTAGCTGTTCCCACCACTTCCTGGAGGTCAGCAGTCCAGATTAGGTTTCCTACCAAACATTTTTGTTTCTTTACACATATGTGTAGTGATTCTTTGTCTTGGGATATTTGTAGATGGTGAGGTCCTAGCATGTCTGTGGGGCAGATGGAAGTGCTATCTTTCTACCAAGGAAAACATAGCAGACATAAAGAATTATGTGGGCTTGAGGGTTTCCTTTTACATGACTCTATAAGAGAAGGTCAAAGAAATTTGTGTGTCAGTTTGGAATGGTGGATTTTGTAGAAATTCAGAGGGGAACATAATTTTCTTCAGTCTTAAAATATTGCTTGTAATATAAAAGTTCAGGAACAGAAACAGAACTTCTGTTGTGTAGTATTTCCTTGTTCATTTTGCTAGATGCAGAAAATTTTCAGCCTCATGATGGCTCAAATTTCGGTTCGAGAGCCTCTGCTGAAAGCCACAGTCCTGGCACAGTTACCTAGATATAAACACCTCTATGTGCACTGGCAGTAACAGCTGCGAACAGGACATATGGGTTTCATGGCAATAGTAGTAGTCTCTGTTCTGTAAAATTGGGTATCGCTGCTGAGGAAGGTCAGGAGCGCTCAATGCATGTCCGGGTGCGTGGTACTTGTCTGCCAGTGCATGTTAGTCAAACAGCATTGTTGTTTGATCGTATTGCCTGTTGCGGTCCCTGCATGCCATCTCCTTTCAGTACAGATTAAAGGCTGGGGTCTTATTTACTCTCCAGTAGAGTGCATGGCTGAGCTGGTGCAGACAACAGCTTCTTAGTTTCTCTTTGAGCTTGAACACAGAAGAACAGAGATTCATGGCTCCCCACCCCCTGCCAGAGTAAATTGACCTCTTGGAGGCATCTCTTCACCTAGTGGTGTGAAGGATAATGCAGGGCTGTGTACAGAAAGAAAAGAACAGGCCTTCTGATAGGACGGGGCCCGGGGCTTTTCTTTTGGGGGGCATTCAAGTGTGTTAGGCTAAAATAGAAAACAGGTGAAAGAGGCCTACTCCCTGTCATGTGACTTTGGGCTAAGTCTCACTTGCAGCGTAGCTACTTGATGTTAAAACTTGGAGAGTGAATCTTTCTCATGTTTCTTAAAGTTGCTTTTGGTGATCAGGTCTTCTCACACACCACTGAGCTCTTTCTGTGATGGTTCCCAGAAAAGAGGCAAAAGTGCTGACTCTAGAGAGGCTCCTGGTGGGGTCTTGTACCTCAAACCCTCACCCTTCTGTCTTTTTTTCATTCTGCACCTAGCTCAGGTGAGCCTGTAGGTCCTCTGGGCCCCAGACCAGCTCTGTCTCATGGAGCACACATGGCCCACCTTTTGAATAGCAAACACTGACATCTCCTAATCCTTTTATGTACTTAGCCTCAGTGGCTCCTGATTGATCACATCTTGTGAACAATCTAATATCACCTGCCTGTTTGTATTTGTATGCATCTGTTTTACACATATCTATTCATTAGCACACCATTTTTCTTTCACGTGCAGACATAACTCATTGTAATGGCAACAATGAGCAAAGGCTCCCTGTGAAGGCCTGTACATGTGACTGTGATGTAAAAGATATTCTTATTGCTTCATCAAATTAGAAAGAAGGTTAAGGCCCAGCTTCAGAAAATCACTCAAGCAGGTTGACTGATTGAAATGGGATTCATCCATGTGCTACAGTAATTGCCTACATCCCAGTCTAAATCACTGCTCTGAGCAAGGGTAACTGAAGATTGACAGGCGGTAGTGCGTTTGATGGTGTGATGTGAGCAGCTATTCCACCACCACTCTTGAAATGCATGAGACTGTAAGCTCTTAAATGGGCACAAAGAAAATGATTTTAACACTGTAGATTGCCCGATAGATTGCTTATCTTTATGTCTTGTCCCTTTCCGCCTGAAGGACTTGGATTAGGAAAATACTGAATTCAGAGCCTTGGCACTGCTTTTCACTGCTGAGGATGGGACTCAGCTCATCCAACATTGCCTGTATGAGATGGATAGCTACTCTGAATTTGCTCTATACACTGCCCCTATTCTCATCCATAGAGAGGTGCTTCTCTAAAAGTCTCACTCTGTGGATCACCCTTTGGAAGCACCCCTTCCTCTGCTGTCTGGAGGCAAGGGAGGAGGAGTGAATCCCCTTTCCCCTTCCCTTTGACCATCTCTCTCCTCTGTGTTCAAGGTGAGAGACAGCAACTAGGTCTGGCACCTTATATACCTAATGCTGGCCTTCCAGTAGCTAATTTTACTCAATTACAGTGTTCAGTTACAGCCATCCCTGTTCCCTGCTGCATCTGGTCTTTTTGCTGACATGAGGAAATTCTCAGTTAACTTAACTGCACCTGGGGCTGAAGCATGGGCAAGCAACAGATGCCCACAGTATTAGGTTAGGTCCACATAATGGTCAAGCTTTACCCTTTCTGAATTCAAAAGTTAGGCTGAGGAGCAGGGGGAAAATCCAGTTACTAGGAAAGAAAATATGGTACCCAGTGGGTATGTACTGCAGTGTTTGGTGAAAAAGTTTCATTTGAGCTAGATCTGTTTGTGTTCTTAGGCTCTTGGGGAAACGTCATCTTCATAAATGTCTATGCTCAAATTATACCATCCAACCGTCATACCTTAAGCTGGTAGTTCATCAGCCCTTTGCTGTTGTGGCATGAGAAACTGGAATTTTGTGCTCCTATTCATTGAATTCATTTTGGAATAAAAATCATAAATCCCTTTGGTTTAGTCCCCTGTTAATATTGTCATCATTGGACTTCTTTTTCTATCTCCTTGCTTTTCCTGGCTACTAGAATCATTCTGGTACTTTTATTCCCATGTATTTATAAAGCATATTAGCAGAAAACAGTTTTTCTGAAGTTACTTGTCAGTTTTAGCACTGCTTACATCTACAGAGGCAAGGGAGCACTCTAATTTGCTCCAGCCCAATTTTAATTAATGTAGGCTGCTAAATGCACAAACGTTTTCAAGAAAGCTAGATCTATGAGGGACTGTGCAAGCCCTCTGTTGTCCATCTGCTTCTCAGCAGCCTTGTCTGATGAGGTGTTAGAGTGATGGTGGAAGTCAGTCAGCACACAGAGCATACAGTCCTCCAGGAATAACTCATGCACCCTTTGAGTAGTCATTTATTCACTATGATGCCAAATTATGGGCTGACCAGCCAGCACATCTGTCTGAAAATGGAATGGGTACATAAATCACAGAATTAGGGCAAAGCTAGCTAAGTCCTTCTGAAACTTTTGCCAGCACGACTGAAGTGGAGTTTCTGTTCCCAGTGGCTTATACTGAAGGAATGAAAGGGGTTGATCTAAATAATTGGCTTTCAGAGCTATTTTCCATTCTCTGCAGCTGGATGAGTCTTAGTAATTTAAAAATTGTTAATGATGTTGACTGACATCTCTAGATAGTGCCTTTATGATGACAAAGGATGTTAAAATGATGCACACATTGCGGACAGATTCTGCTCTGGTTTGCACCACAACCAGTTGTAGACTCGGTGCTGCTCCTGAACAGGTGTCTCCCAACTTCATCTCTTTCTGCCCCAAGAAATCCACAGTGGCCTGATAATGCAACAGCCTGCAGGACCAGAGTAATTTCAATCACATCTGCATTTTAGAAAGGCAGAACATGGTAACTGAAGTAACCTTGGGAAAGTTCAGCAATCATTCATTAGAGATCCTGTGTTTCTGGTGCATGCTGGTGAGGAGTGATAAAGCACTGCCTGCCCTGAGTGTGGCATGCCTCCTATGATGAGGAACGACTTTGTTGTTCTCTAGAGTTCTGATGTCATTTTTCTCTTAACTGCAGGTCACTTCATGGGCAACAACACAGTGATTGATGTTTTGAGGAGAGAAGGGTACGAGGTAGAACACACTCCAGCTGGACAAGCCATCAACAAGTAATGCATGCTTTTATCTAGCTGAGCAGCCATTGAGAGGGTGGGTTTGTAAACAATCATGAAGAGGTAGTGGCAGCTGGAACTATACCTAACAGTGAGCTGGGCTCCCTCTCTCCTCCCCAGCAGTTTGCTTTTCTCTTCCATGAGCCAATTTGGAAACAGGATTTTATTTGGTTTGGGTTTTTTAGTGTTTTGTTTGGGTGGTTTTTTTGTTGGTTTTTTGTTTTGGTTTGTTTTTATTTAAATAAAATAAAAATATTTCCCCCCCTGAAAGTTTTAAACTCTTACACTAACAGCCATGCAGTATGCATGCTGGTTCATCAGATCTGGATGCTTTCTCATACTACATAGGCTTCCAGGCTCTTCCTTCCTCCCTTTTAAGTGGTTGACTGCCCTGCCTTTTAACACTCTCCTTCTCTTACACTGCTATTTTTGATTCTTTCTGATTACTCTCTCTCAGCCTAGAATCTTACTGCCTAGAGTCCACCCAGCCTCTTTGCCAGCTGTCCCCATGACTGATTGCTGTCATGTCCCCTGCTCTCTTGTGCATTTTTAAGCCAAGGTACTTGCTGTTTTGGTTCATCTTGCATCTGTCCTTTGGGATATACCTTTACTGCCTCTTTTTCTCTCTCACTGGGTGCCTTTATCCATCTCTGTGGTTTCAGTAACTACAGCATGCCAAACAATCTCCTCCACACTCTGCTGAGAATTACACGTGCTCTTGACTCACCTCTTCCTGGACTTCTTGCCACCAGATTAGGCTCTGCAATCCTTGTCTCTCCCTTCTCCAGACTCTTGTCAAACATATGTGCAGGTCAACCAGGGGATCAGGCCCAGCCAGCATGGGTTCATGAAAGGCAGGTCCTGCTTGACCAACCTGATCTCCTTTTATGACCTGGTGACACGCCTGGTAGATGAAGGAAAGGCTGTGGATGTCATTTACCTGGACTTTAGCAAAGCTTTTGACACCGTCTCCCACAATATTCTCCTTGGGAAGCTGGCAGCTCATGGCTTGGATGGGCATAGTCTTTGCTGGGTAAAAAACTGGTTGGGTGGCCGAGCCCAGAGAGTAGTGGTGAATGGAGTTAAGTCCAGTTGGCAGCCGGTCACGAGCAGTGTTCCCCAGGGCTCTGTTTTGGGGCCAGCCTTGTTTAATATCTTTATCGATGATCTGGATGAGGGGATTGAGTGCACCCTCAGTAAATTTGCAGACGACACCAAACTGGGTGGGAGTGTCGATCTGCTGGAGGGTAGGATGGCCCTGCAGAGGGACCTGGACAGGCTGGACCCATGGGCCGAGGCCAACTGTATGAGGTTTAACAAGGCCAAGTGTCGGGTCCTACACTTCAGTCACAACAACCCCATGCAGCGCTACAGGCTTGGGGAAGAGTGGCTGGAAAGCTGCCTGGCTGAAAAGGACCTGGGGGTGTTGGTCGACAGCCAGCTGAACATGAGCCAGCAGTGTGCCCAGGCGGCCAAGAAGGCCAACAGCATCCTGGCTTGTATCAGGAATAGTGTGGCCGGCAGGAGCAGGGAGGTGATTGTTCCCCTGTACTTGGCGATGGTGAGGCCGCACCTGGAATACTGTGTCCGGTTTTGGGCCCCTCACTACAAGAAAGACATTGAGGTGCTGGAGCGTGTCCAGAGAAGGGCAATGAAGCTGGTGAAGGGTCTGGAGCACAAGTCTTATGAGGAGCAGCTGAGGGAACTGGGATTGTTTAGCCTGGAGAAGAGGAGGCTGAGGGGAGACCTTATCGCTCTCTACAACTACCTGAAAGGAGGTTGTAGTGAGGTGGGTGTTGGTCTCTTCTTCCAAGTAGTTAGCGATAGGACTAGAGGAAATGGGCTTAAGCTGCGCCAGGGGAGGTTTAGGTTGGAAATTAGGAAAAATTTCTTTACGGAAAGGGTGGTCAAGAATTGGACCAGGCTGTCCAGAGAGGCGGTGGAGTCCCCATCCCTGGAAGTGTTCAAAACACGGGTAGATGTGGCACTTAGGGACATGGTTTAGTCTAGTCTACCCTTGATTGGCTTAGAGTAGACTTGGTAGTGTGGGTTAATGGTTGGACTGGATGATCTTAAAGGTCTTTTCCAACCTAAACAATTCTATGATTCTATGATATGCTCTTGTATCTCTCACATATCCCCACTCTTCCTTATAGTCACTGCTAAAATACCACAGTGGAAAAAAGGTTTGTTCCCAATTATGGTACTGTTTCCAGTTTATCCTCTGTGCCAGGCATGCTGTCCCTCACTGCTTACATCTCTGTTCCTCTTCCCCCACATTCCTGATATAGGTCTTTCAGGCAGGACAATCACCTTTTGTGCAAGGGGCACAATGCAGAGTCTTGGTCCTGTGCCAGGGGCTCCACAGATGTGGTGCAAAATAATGACGTGTTTTTCTCATTCTTTGGTTGCTTCACCTTTCTCTTTGCACCACTTTGCTGCCTTTTTCAGACCATAAGATTCAAACTCTGGCAGGTCGTGGTTTTGCTATGATTCTTGACATCGACATACATCATTAATTCTCCTTGCACTGAAACAAACTGAGCCAAGACTCATCCCCATGAGTACATGAATGCAACCCCTAAGGCTGTTGTCACCAATGGGCAGGTAGCCTGACATGGAGAAGCCCCCTGTGCTTAAGCACAAGACTTAATGATCCTGTAACACTTAAGTCATGGTAAGCAATCCAGTGTATCAGTGTTTATGGGAATAATAAAAAACCTGCCTGCACTGATATTTTTGTGTTGGGTTTTTTTTTTCCCCCCAGAACATTCTTAGCTTAAGTATTCCTAAAAACAGCCATAGCAGCTTCTTAAAGCTTAAAGAAAGAGAGCTTAATATGTACTTGAGAATAAGCAAAATCCAGTACTGCTCTGTAAATGTGTAGCTGTAAGGAAATCAAGGGCAGGCAACTGTGGAAAGGAGGGCTAGACCTTCACCCATCAGGATGGTAGGTATGGATATTCAGAGTAGCTGGGTATGTAGTTCTTTGACCACATCATAGGAGTTCATTGTCCAGCCAGTGACTCTCGTGCCTTCAAAAGCCCTCAGTTTGGCATGGTTGCACCTCAAAGCTTTCATTAGGACTACTGGACAGAATATCTTTCCTGGAGTCTTGATTTTAAAGCTGAGTGAAGAAGTTGATGAAGATGGCACTTTAGTGTTTTCTTTGAGAAAATGTGTTATCATTTCTGGATGACTTGGAAACAGATTTAAAAATATGAAATGAGTTTCAAGAAAATGTGAGTTCTGAAGGAGACGAGCATTTGAGGTGAGGGAAAGACCTGTGGCAAGAGTATGTCAGAGTCCTGGGAGAAAGGTGACAGAGGGTTTGACTTGATTGCTATCCTGGGCTTGTTCTAGGACCAAATACCAGGGCAGTCTGTGTCAATAAACCCAGTCCAGCCCACGTAAATGTGGAACCATATCCAGCTACTGTCATAGATAGCAGTGCTGCACACAGTCCAGTCAGTACCTGTAGACTATTTCACAGGACAAAAGTAAGAGAGGAAAAAACTGGCAAGTGGTTGAACTGAGACAGGGCATTCAAATGGGTATTCTACTGTTGGATACAGTAGGGGATATTAGCTGAGTGGTCCTGAAACAAGAGGATGAAAATTGTCTCCCTTCCCTGCAACATGATGTTGTGCAGTAGCCGCACAGCCTGCTGCTTCCTGTGCTCTGGCTAAACAGAAAGACCCTTCTGAGGTATCTTGTAGGTATCTGTGCATAGGAACAGAGAAAGATGTGGGATCATTATGCATGTTTGCCTGTAACAGGCAAACTGCTGAGTGCAGTCACACAACTTCACCTGCAGACAGGGCTGCCAGAGGTGTCCTGCCTATCTGCAGGGGGAAAGAGATGAATACCTGTAGTGGAGCGTGGAGGCAGGAATGTGTCGCAGGAGAAGAGTCAAGAGATCACTCAGACAGATCTGATCAAGTAGTTATTTTATTGAGTTCTAATCAGTAAATTTAGATATGTAAAATATTTAGTAAGTACAGATGGACTGGCGGTCAATACTCTACTACTTACTACATTAAAGTCAGCATGGGATACAGATTATCGCTTAAGCTTACTATATGTATCTTAAATGTTACATGCATACAAAAAAAGTCACTTACCAACCCATCGATGTCTGGTGTCAGGTAAGGGATCTGTCAGCCTCGAGAGGTAACCTTGAGAGGCGTCCCTACTCAAGAGGAGATCACCACCATGCAGACAGCTGCTATGGAGGGAGAGCTCAATGGACCCTGATGGCTGCAGTTATTTATAGCATGAAGTGGTTGATTTGTAGTCAGATTTTCTGCTGTGTTAATGCAGTTTTGGCCACTTATCAGCCCAGTCTCCAGCCAAACCGTATTTTGGGGGTTTTGTGCTAAGTTCTCATTGATAGCCTCAGACAGTAGAATTAACTTCTTAGGCCTACTTGCTGAGCATCTGCCTGCACCAAAGTTCAGTTAGTTCAAAGAGCAGAAGTGCATCCATCACAGAGGGCTCCTTCTTTGTGGTGTTGCCAAAGCAAGGAAGGCAAAAGAGGTGCTCCAACCACACAGCAGCACAAAGGACAGTTTATAAATAGTGCCACAAGTTCAATCAAGCTCCTAGTGTCTTATTTTGGGCTTTAACTGTTGTTCCTGATTTTAGAATGCATATATATATTGTAAAATATTCATCACATAATCACAGCTGTAATTAAGGTGCTTCCTGACTCCTCCCTTAGCTGCTGTGCTGGGAGAGGCAACTGGCTTTGGGGAAGAAGGACGTGCTTTTGCATCTGTGTACCTTTTCCTGTGGTTGCTCAGTCAGTCCCTGGAAGAATTACCTGCAGGAAGTGTTGCAAAGGAGGCTATGTATACGAGTGTCTGTTGTTAATAGTGTTCTGAGGCTGCAGGTATCAGAATAAATGGCTGCCCATGCAGGATGGAGGTCATCCTGGATGTGCCTGTAGCAATGCTGAGCTCCAGCATGGTACGGCCATGAGTTTGGTAGGCAAGGCTGCAGGCAGCAAGGCAGTCTAATCTACAGGGGAGGGCTGGTGCCCCCTCTGTGACTTTTACAATTAAGGAACAGATACAGCGAAGAGAAATTGGGGAAAAGGGAACCATAAGCAGAGGACCTTTGAAGAAATCAAATCAGGTCACTAGAGACAACTGGGGGCATCACTCTGTAAGGTGGACTTAAAGACCGGGTGATGCAAAGATGTTGTGGAGGAGAGGTGAAGTGTTGTGACACTTCAGAGGTGATAAAGTGAGAGTGTGACAATCACAAGGATTTTGAAAGAGATCGGTAGCCCAAAACCCATTCTGCACCAGTCTCTGTCACATAAAGTTCACCACATGACCAGTCTGTGATTTTGCATGCAGGAAATAAGATCAAATTATCTTCATTTTCCATTTACTCTCTCCCTCTCATGTTCTAGTCCACAACTTCATTTCTCCTTCTCCAGGATGGACCCTCTTTATTCTCCATCAAAGAGATGTGCCCACAGTGATGGGCTAGCTTGGAAACTGCAGCCATGCTGAAACATATCTCCTCTGGACCTCCTCCTTTCAATGCCATTGCAAGGCAGAAAGGAAACATGCTATAGTTCTGCGAAGGTTTCACGGATTGAAGCCAGGTTTCTGCACAGTGGTCTGTGGTCTTCTGTTACCTTTCTGAATTTCAGCCCAAGCCAGTCTCCAATTTTGTCTTGTGTCCTGGTTTTGGCTGGGAGAGAGTTAATTTTTTTTTCCCCTAGTTGTGCTGTGTTTTGGACTTGGTATGAGAATAATGTTGATAACACACTGATGTTTTAGTTGTTGCTAAGTAGTGCTTACATTAGTCAAGGACTTTTCAGCTTCTTATGACCTGCCAACAAGAAGCTGGGAGGGGGCACAGCCAAGATAGTTGATCCAAACTGGCCAAAGGGATATTCCATACCGTGTGATGTCATGCTCAGTATATAAACTGGGGGGAGCTGGCCAGCAGGGAACCACTGCTTGGGAGCTGGCTGGGCATCAGTCGGTGGGTGGTGAGCAATTGCATTGTGTGTCACTTATTTTGTATATTCTTTCTTCATTACTATATTATTATTATTGTTATTTTCCCTTCCTTTTCTGTCCTATTAAACTGTCTTTATCTCAACCCACAAATTTTACTTCTTTTTTTTTTTTTTTCTTTATTTTTTCCAATTTTCTCCCCCATCTCACTGGGGAGGCGGGGGGAGTGAGCGAACTGCTGCATGGTGTTTAGCTGCCTGCTGGGTTAAACCACAACATCTTGTTACAGAAGACTGCTGCATCTCTTCTCTTTATGAAGTAGCCATAAAGATCAGTAAGATATTTGTGTTGTGCTCTGTGTATCCGCAGAGTGGATTGAGTCTGTGAGTTTATCCAAGATGCTTATGAACAAGTAAAGAGCAGGAATTGCTTTGTTCCAAACAAAGAGGAGCCGTGAGTGGATAGCAGACTGCAGTGTGCCTACCTTGGAGTATAGATGACGAGATGTTGCTTGCTTTAAGTGTAATGAAACAGAGCTTAAGTAATCAGGGTGGAGCTGATTGATTGTTCTTCAAACCTTCACACGAAGCTGAGTAGGAATAGCCCTTAGAGTTTTTTCTAGGGGCTCAACTGAGCGGTCCTTTGGGATTCCAAGATTCACCTTGTGAGAGAGTTTGTGCATGCACATAGTCTCACAGCAATATCTGACATGCTGGAGCTGCTTTGAAATTCCAGATAATGCTGCCAGCCTAATACAGGATCTGTGCAGCCAGAAAGCTGAAGGCCTAACTCCTACTCCCTCATTACTTGCTGTAAATGTGTGCAAAGCTTACTTCTACATTGTGGGTGAGCTGTGATTGCTCAGACTCCTCCCCTCCATGTGTACCTCCATACTTGTCTAATACAACCCTTTAAAACCACCGTTTCATGCTCCTTGGTGTGGTTATCTGAGTGGCAGGACAGTGTTATCTCCTTTTGCAGATCAGCATGAGGACAGTAAATGTTTACACTAGAAGTCAATACAACAATAGCGAGTTGAGCTCTGGTCTCATGTGTCAGACCTGATGTTTTATAAAGGCTGTGCATTTACTGCTCTGTACTATCTGGCTTCATGAAAAAGAAAATGAGATGATGGTGAACTTGGCACTGCCACAGCTAGTCTGCTTCCAGTTGCTGCAGACTAGATGGCCCAAAGGATTGCTTAATGATATATTGAGCCATTCCCTTCAAAGATGGTAATTTGCAAGACTCATTTCTGCAGCTGTGACCACAGTCACTGCTGAGTGGCTAGTTCATTACTTAACTTCTCCACCAGTTAAGAGTGTTGATCTAGGACTGGCTCCTTCAGCTAGTGCGCCTTAGTCATCCTGTCCCTGCCCCTTCCTCCTGCCCGCCAAATTAGTTGGGTCTGGGCAGGAATTGCCCTAAAGGAATAACCTGTTCTGTGTTCTGCGGTACATCAGACTAGAGGAGTGTGGTTTGACCTCCTCTGACTTTGGGGGTGATTCCTTTTTTGCCTCTTTCTAGATACACAAAGTTATTGCCAAGAGTTATTCCACCCTGAGCCAGACTGCATTCCTTTCTCAGTTTACCTCGTTTCCAAAGCTTTTTTTGTTAAAGAGAACTATTTTGATCAGAATATTGACATAAGGAAGAGAGGGCAGGAATACAAGGCAGAGAAATAAACATCCAGCCAATATGTCAGGGAGAAACACCTGTTTTATGTGTGCCTTGATGGTACCTGTACCAGGATTGTGCCTCAAAGCCCTTTCAAATATTATCTGTGTTCCCTCTTTCTTCCAGCAGAAAACCCCCCAAAACCTTGTTAGCCTTTTCACCGTCATCACCGGCACACAGCCCCTATGTCACGTCCCAAGAGCTCCCACTGCTGTTGCACCCCCAGAGGGAGGAAGAGGAGGAGGAAGAGCTCCTGCCTCACCTGCTGCTCCCTGATGGCATTGACGTGCTGGAGAAGATAGACAGGAAGTACAAAAAGAAGAAGAAGAAGCAGCAGAAGAAGCAAAGGCTGCGACAGTTTAATGACCTCTGGGTTCGCCTTGAAGAAAGGTAGCTAACAGCTGGGGAGGGAGGAGGGTTTGTCATGCAAACTGGTCTTCAACTTAGACTGATTCATCCAGTATGCCAAACTTCTGCAAGGGCTAGATACATGTTGAGGGCAGGACCTGACCTTCTCCTTCACCATGATTCTTGCTGAAACATTTACTCAAGGCTGCTTGTGCTTTTAGTGACAAAATAGCTTCTTCCGCATGGTTAGGTTTGTGGAAAATTAGGCATAATACAAGTGGAAGCCTTGTCTAGACCATTTTGCATTTGGGCTTGAGGAATTGTGAGCATATGGTAGTCCTCTTTATCACAGAAGGCTGGGTCCAGTGGTAGATGGTACAAATCAAAGCCTTGGACCTTTATCCAAGAGATGCTGCATATGTAGAAACTGTCATATCTGGCATATGTGCTCCTTGCATTTGGACAATATTTATGCAGTATTTCCAGTCTCTCTATTTTTCCAGTCTTAAAAAGTGTGTGAACCCCATGGCATGACTGGAGATCTGGAAAGGGGGATGACAACCTAATGGATGATGGAGTTAATATGAACGATGGAGCGTGTTGTGGGGCAAAGGTTCACACATACACCCTAGTTTTCACCCAGAAGAGCTTACTCACCCAGAAGAACGACAGCAGCCTGCAAAAAAGGCAACTTGTCGCTCACTAGCTATACTTAGGCCTGTGGCTCAATGTGTACGTTAATGTTTCCCTCCTGTCAGAAAACACACAGACCTGAGTCTGCTCTCTTGTACTTTCTGTCTCTGTTTGTATCTCTGCCATACTTAGGTTGAAAGCATTTTAATTTTGTGGTACTATAAATAACCAGACAGGTCTGAATGATGGAGAAAGGCCAGCAGTTCTTTAAATGAAGCCTCTACATTCTTTTTTTTTTTCCTCTGAAAAGTATTTCTTCCTGCTTCCCAAGGTACTGACTATATCAGGGTTCTCCTCTGCCCCTCCTGTCACACCTGGGTCCCAGCTGTACTACTGTTTGAGTAATACATTTCTCAGTCTGGCTCTGAGTGCAGCAGCTGTTGTTCTGTTCCAAGCATTCAGCTATTGTCACACTTTTAGACCAGACCAGTTTTGTGTTCTCTCTCTGCTCCTCCTTCCAACCTAAGTGTGAGTAGTTTGGAGGGAAACAAATGCACGTGGAGGTTTGCATGCCCACTGACAGACCTACACACAGTCCAAGATTCACTATATTGATCACATTTGATTTTGTATTTTAGTGTATCATTTACTTTCTATTAACGTAGTTGATACCAGCTGTTTGTGAATGGGGTTTTGGAGCTTCTGTTGACAGCGTGTTTAATTGAAATGCTACAGAATGATTTGGAGTCTTTGTGATCTCAATCTCCCACCCTGCCTGCACACTGACATGTTCAGTTTTTCACATGCAGTTCTTCCTATGAAGCTCAGGGGAGTCAGTGGGTGCCCTGATGTGAGATATGCATGCGCTTGCAGCATCAGTGCCTTCAGAAGAAGAAAGATGGGAGGATGTGCTACTGTGACTAAATTGGAGGTACATTAGGGCAACATGCTGGATTGCAGGTACTGCAAGGCAATAGTGAGGTAAAAGCAAAGCTAATGATGGCAGCTTAGGAAACTACTGCATAAATTTGGGAGCAGCAAAAGCCTCCTTTCCTTTTCTTCTTTTGTAATGTTTCCTTTTCTCCCCTACTAATTAAGTCATCCTTTGTGCTAGAAACTTATCCAGGTGCTAGGTGACAAATTCTTGTTAGGGGTGAGTCCTTAGTAGCAGAGAGCTTGAACATCTGGAGATGGAGCTGTTGCATGACAGTACTGGGAAAGACAAGTGATGCTTATTGCTGCCTGGGAGGTTGCTGCACCCTTACAGTGGAGGGAGAACTGTGAGTGTCAGAGGCAGCTGTCATTCACGCACAGCCCCCACCCATGCTCTGGGTTTAGTCTTTGTAAAGCAAGGGGAATCACCAGCCTCTGTGCCCCGATACCTGCTCGTGCAAGCAGTCCCTGCCACTGCCAGCTGCCTGGGCAGGCGTGGGCTGAGCTGACAGCCCCACCTCGTGGCACAGCCACGATGTGTCCCCACAGAAATCCAGCCCCTCTGGGCTCAGGCTCACACGTGCGCAGGCCACATCTCACTTCGAGTCTCAGCCCTTGCTGTAAGCATTCCCCGGGGTGCCCAGGTACAGGTAAAGCTGTCAGGTTTCTTACGTGTGGGTCATTCACCGCTTTCCTCCTATGAGCCTGGAAATGTGAAAGGTGCAGCTCAAGTGATTTAATATAGTCTTGCAGTGGGCTTGGCAGAATTGCTTTGGTTCATGCTCCTGTACGCATCAACTGGCAGCCGTATTTCTTTGATGTGCTGCAAGCTGGCTTCTCTCCAGTTACTGTTCAAACCTTCTGTGGGGGCCTTTGGGTATGGAAGGGTAAGTGTTTTTAAAAAGGATACTAATTGCCTTCAATTTCCCAAAGTGTTTTTGTTTAATGCAGCTGGCCAAAATAAGGCAAGAATGGGGCACAGCAGCTGGGGAGTTGGTGCAGGAGAAATTACTCTGCTTTTGTATTTGGCAGGTAGACTTGCTTTTAATTTTGTCCGAATTTGCCTTCTGGTTTCACACAGCACCATGAGGCCTTGGGGGTGTATGTCAGCCTTAGAGCTGTGGGGTCAAGCATGGCTTTCAGTCCATTGCTGAAGAGAAAAACACCTGTGTAGTATCTGACCCTTCTGACTCTTGACCTGCTGTGCTGTAGGAGCTCCCTCAATTCAGTACAGTTGGTGTTAGCAGCCTGGAGCATACAAATTTCTGTCATCCATCACATGTTGCCATAATGGGAGTTCAGCACCATGTAGACTCTGACTCAGTTCTTGTTCATTACCACCTCAGAGTCCTCACTACCACTGGGAGATACTCTGGGTGGTGGTGATCTTTTCCCAGTGACTCTAGAATGTGTTTCTGGAAGTGGCTCTTCCTCTCCTTAAGGCATGTCATGTAAGCCCTTTGTAATTCCTGACCTGTGGAAGGGAACATGCAGTATAGGAACAAGTTTGGTCCACGCTAAAATGCATGTACAGAAGCATGGCTGGAGAAGATGGATTCAGCTGAAAGCAGGTGCCTCTCTCCTGCAGTGTACAGCAAGTGTCACTGTAGTGACACTCCTCTGCAACAAAGCTTGTTTTTTTTGTTCTTATGTATTTTCTACTTACCTGAAAGGCTGGCTGGAGGGTGCTAGGAATATGGTCATCTTACCCACTGGACTGACTGCGTGGGCGCAATGGGCAGGCTAGCTAGGTACACCTGAGTACGGGACAGGTGTTTCAGTGCTGTCTCCACCCTCCTCAATCTCTTCCCTGTTTCCCCTCAAGACTGCTTTGCAGTTCAGCTGGGCAGTGCACTCATCCATGTGGGGTGGCATGGGAACTGCCCACAGCTGTGAGGAAGGGACAAGGCAGTGTTCTGCCATTAGGAGACACAGTCCTCGGTGAGCATGGAACCAATATGACAGACCATTCCCAGAAGCCCAGAAGAATGAGAGCTGGGCACAGAGGCTGACCGCCTCCTGCTCTGTGGGCATCGGGCAGTTCTGGGCTGGGTCTGGACTGATGTTCTTCTCTTGCCTTGCAGTGCTACCGACCCTTCTCCCCGGATCCGCATCATTAATGGCTACATCACGGTTGAACCCCAGCCACGGGGCCACGGACGGTCTAGTCACGCTCATGCAGATACTGGCAGTGCACACCAGCTTTCCCATTCTCTCTTCCTCTCGCTACTGACTTTGACTTTGCATATGATAAGGCTGCATTGAAACACAGGGGGAGCCAAGCCGCAGGGCTCTCACCTTAAAAAGCAAAAAAGAAACTGATGTGAAGAAAACAAAAATAGAAGACTCTGAGTAGGACACCTGTTCTTTGGGGTGTTCTTTAACTGCCTCCTTTTCCTGAATCTGGATCATTAACACTATTAACTGGTTTGACCTGCCCAATACAGGAGAAGATATTTTAATGAAAGTGTTATTTATCCTTCTCTTGCAGAAGAATGATTTCATGTTATCCCATAATGCTTTGGGGAAATTATAATATCGCTATAACATAGCTGTTGTTTAGCTGTATAAGCCCAACTAAATTACATTTTTTTACCTTCAGTGCCTTGTAAGAAGATTTACACACCACTAACTTGTTTATTAGAACAGAATATTTTGGTCATATGAGCACAGCTGGGAAAGAGAGGCTGGTATTTTATGTCTGTACTGGTAATGCTTTTAATTCTTGCTTGTTAGGGCTCCAGATTTCATATAAAGGTTCATGACAACACCTTCTACAATAGAATAAAACAGTAAAGACTTGTGAACAGAATGTTTTTGCTGTCTGTTTGGTGCTGTTGTGAGATGGGTACACCTGAACCTCTAATGGCCAAGTTATATGGCCAATGGCCAATGGCCAAGACAAGTCTTATAAGCACAAACTAATGTATATTTAAGAAAAAAAAAAAATTGCCTAGGGAGCTTCACAATCATATCGTTGGATGATTCCAAAATGAGAAGTTCTCAAGAGGTGATTTGAGAAGCCCAGATGCACGTTTTCCCTCTCTTTCTAAATCATGAATATAGTTAGAGCTGGATTCCTTTTTGGGGAGAAAGGGCTTTCTTGTCCTTTTCTACACAGTTAGACTTCATTCTAGGAAATCCTTGCAAGTTTTCTACCAATTTCAGTGGAAATTCTCAGACTTCCCAAATTGTTTTAAGTCCTTCGCTGTCTACTTAAAATGCACATGCTGTCGACTGTTGGATATAGGAAGCTTGGAAGCGGTGATGTATGGTTTTCTGTGTTTGTACAGGACATCCTCTTGTGATCACACTGACTCGTTTTGTGAGCAATGTATCCCTCCCTCCTCTTATGAGGGTTTCATTGTTTGGGAAGGTCTCATAAGATTCATCCATGGTAGGGCTTGGAGCCAACGCGCTGAGCCTGGTACCTTGGAAACACAGCAGCCACCTGCCCCAGTGAGACAACAAACCCTCAGGTTTCCCTTCCTATGCATGTACACGTGCTTCACTACTTTTTTCATTGCCTATAAAAAGTACCTCTTTTTCTCATGCTTCTACTGCACATTGGAGGAGGAGGAGCAAATGGTTTCAGCTTTCTTAACAGGCTTTTCATCTCTTGATCTCAAATTTCAGTCCCCCTTCATAAGGAAAACAGAGAAAGGAGAGGCTAAATATTGCAGTTTGCAGCAGCACTGTGGGGAACAAAATATATCTGGACTAGGGTAGAAGATGGCACCATCTCATTGTATATTCCTTCTTATAGGGAATACTACAAGACCTCAGCGTCCCAAATGCGTTCTGGCTTCCTTGGCTTTACACAGCAGCCAGGCTGGTGATGTGCTCTCCCTGTCTCTCTCTGGTTGATCTTTCACTAGTGTAAACTGTCATAGACTTGGTGGGTCCAGAGCTATTTTCTTTGGCCTGAATATGACCTGAGGGGAGCAGATCAGATGGGGGATAGTTTAGTCACAAAGATGCACTGCAGACCTGACAAACTGAGCACATACTTGTGCATTTACCAGTACATCTAAGGGGGCCGCCAAAAACATTACCTCAGAGTGTGTTCTGCCACTTGCTAGCCTCTGCATTGGTAGTATTGCTTCTCCTCCCCTTGTCCTCTGTCTTTCAGAAGTGGATGATGAGGTGTGGCACAGGTCCAAAGGGTTCCAGAAGCACTGGGAGAAGGGGCCGAGACAGAGCTTCCATTTCTTTTCTCCATTACAAGAAAAAGACTGCTGTGTAAAATAGCCCCAGGCTGGCTTTTCCCTTTGTTCTCTCCTCCATGGTTGCTCCTGAGCTTCACCTCTGTGAGACAAGCTGAGTCGAGTGGAACAGCCACCAACATTTTTCTTAGGTTGGCATAAGGGAAGAGTAATCAGAAAACACTCAGGAATAACACAGACCTGAAGTAGCACTACGGATAATTCAGTTCTAGTGGTGCAACTCATTTGGGTAGCTTGTTTCCAAGTGCCTGACTGTGTCAGAGAAATAGAGATATCCTTTAACTGTGATGGATTGTGTGCCTACAGAGGCTGCATCCTGGCAGTTTTCTGCAAAGTAATCAAATTCTTTCACGGTATTTTTGAGGGTCACATGGGCTTGGCTTGATACCTGTGAATTAAACTGGTGATTCCTACCCCTCACTTTTTCTTCCAGACCAGTCATTGCTGACTGGCCATGGGACAACAAAGTCTTGAAACTGTGACTGGTATGGAGAGCAGAGCCTTACTCCAGCTGAACATAGAATCATAGAATCATAGAATGCTTTGGGTTGGAAGGGACCTTTAAAGATCATCTAGTCCAACCCCCCTGCAGTGAGCAGGGACAGCTTTAACTACAGGTTGCTCAGAGCCCCAGCCAACCTGACCTTGAATGTTGCCAGGGATGGGGCTTCTACCACCTCTCTGGGCAACCTGTTCCAGTGCTTCACCACCCTCACTGTAAAAAATTTCTTCCTTATATCAACTCTAAATCTATTCTTCTTTAGTTTAAAACCATTATTCCTTGTCCTGTCACAACAGGCCTTCCTAAAAAGATTGTCCCCATCCTTCCTGTAGGCCCCCTTTAAGTACTGCAAGACCGCAATAAGGTCTCCTGGCAGCCTTCTCTTCTCCAGGCTGAACAACCCCAACTCTCTCAGCCTGTCCTTGCAGGGGAGGTGCTCCAGCCCTTGGATCATTTTGGTGGCCCTCTTCTGGACCCACTCCAGCAGGTCCATGTCCTTCTTGTGCTGAGGGCCCCGGAGCTGGACGCAGTACTCCAGGTGACGTCTTACCAGAGCAGAGTAGAGGCAGAATCACCTCCCTCAACCTGCTGGCTACGCTTCTTTTGATGCAGCCTAGGATTCTGTTGGCTTTCTGGGCTGCAAGCACACATTGCTGGCTCATGTCCAGCTTTTCATTCACCAGTACCCCCAAGTCCTTCTCTGCAGGGCTGCTCTCAATCTCTTCGTCCCCCAGCCTCTATTGATATCAGGGGTTGGCCCATCCCAGGTGCAGGACCTTGCATTTGGCCTTGTTGAACATCGTGAGGTTCACAGAGGCCCACCTCTTTAGCTTGTCCAGGTCCCTTTGGATGACATCTCATCCTCCTGGCATGTCAACCACACCACTCAGCTTGGTGTCATCTGCAAACTTGCTGAGGGTGCACTCGATCCCACTGTCTATGTCATTGATGAAGATGTTAAACAGCACCGGTCCCAGTACGGACCCCTGAGGGCCACCACTTGTCACCGGTCTCCATGTGGACATCGAGCCATTGACCTACTCAGCTACTCAGCTGTTTACAGTGGCCACTGGGGAGTTTGGTTTGGGTCCAATTGTTTCTCCCTGGTTCCAGAACAAGAAAAGTTTGCCAGAATTGGAACAGCCCAAGGAGTCATCCTAATGGACGAGGTCAGCTCAGGTACCACCCTTGTCTGGGCCACAGAGCATCAGGAAAGCAAGCATTCCCATCATGTGCCTGGAATACTTCACTGTCCCTCTATCTGTCCTTCCGAAGCAGCTGAGGTAGCTTTTGTTGCCTTGCAATTGAAATTCAGTCAGGCTTGTGATGAGTAGCACACTTGATTCAGAAATCACTGTGAAGGTGCAGATACTTCTTCACCTACAAGGGCTGAAATCTCGTCTCCTGAGCTAGGTGCCTTCATGTCCTCTAAATGCTATAACAAAGCATTCTTTGTTATTATCTGAACATCCTTGTTTCCCTTTTCCATTCTCTTTCTTTGTACTTACTAATTAGCCTGTGCACTTTGCTGTTCCCCTCCCTGCTTAAATTGTTTTCGTAAATCATCTCTCCAATGTTCTCTGTGAACAGATCTGTTTTGAGATGATTAGGACTCTTGCCATGGGTTCCTTGTGGTCAAGATTTCTCTTTCTCTGTTAGGAGACTGATATTTGCAAGGCTATGAGCAGAAATTAAAATACTACCCACTTCAACGTGTACTGGTTTGATAATTCCACACACCCCCTGAATTAAATTGTAATGTTGGAGAATATAGGTTGTAACCATCACTGATGTTCATCAGTGTAGTGTGGATTCTTGTATTTGTTGCTTCACTAGGCTTTGCTAATGGACTGCTGTGTTATGACATACATGTTTTTTAACTATTATAAAAGTTCACATTTAAATATATAGCTAGGAAAAAAAGACAGACAAATGTCCTTCTTGGGAAAAGGGCTTGCTCATGAATTCCTGTTTCCTGAGATAGTCAGCACTTGCACTTTATTTCTACTTGCTGGTGAAATGGACCATGTGTTAGTCACCATTTGTTTTGAACTTCATTGACCTTCCAGCATCTACCTCCTGCGTTTTCACAGCTTGTCCTTTCTGCCGCTGGTCATTTTTAATGCATTGAAGCTTTATTTTCTGATATGACATATTTGGTTAGCAACTGGGATTTATTGCGAAGCATTACAGAAGGCATGACTTCAGTCAGTGTGCTTTCATACACAGTAATGTGCTCTTATCTGACACAGCTTTTCTGTGAACTGTGAATGCCCCTTAGCGAGCTCAGGATCCAGTGCTGTTTTACTTTCAAACCCTTTCAGATTAGGATGTGAAAAATAAAATTACTGAAATGAAAAAAAAATATTCTTGTTCTTCAGATAGGGTCTAAAAATGTACGCATCCCTCCTAAGCGATAATTTTAACAATGTGAGAGGGGGTACATGAACTGTGTGGATTACCTCACTGTAACCTCTGACACGCCTTGAGGACCTTGCATGGTTTTGTTATTTTACAGGTGCAGTAGCATGAAAGAA